AAAAAATACCTGTTCTTTAAAAAAAAATTGACATTGACGTTTTATTTAAATACAAAATGACAAATTTGATTTATTTTATGAAAAAATGAAACTTTTTGACTTTTTTCCCACCCCTCCTGCATAAATTGATTCTTGATTTATCAATCAATCAATTTTTGCAGAAAAAACGGGGGAAAAAACCTATTTGTCAAACAAAATTGTTCTTCTTTTTTGTCCCATATATATCCACATCTTGTCTTAGACATTTCAAATAATAATCCATAACTCTAAATTTTGTAACGGGGATGGCTGGTTGGTCGGGTGGATGGATGCCGTCAAATATTTTTTTTCCAAACATTAATCTCAATGAATGTGAGATATATGGGGATAGAGTGAGAGAGAGAAAAAGAAATCCAATTGGCGCCCAACTTTTAACTTTTTTTGTTGTTGTTATATAATCCCACCAAAAGATCCATATATACACCACCACCATTCTTTTCTCATTATTATATGCTACTACCTGAATATATACGAATGTGTGGGTGGGTGTTTCAGCATGTAATATACCATACCTCTACTACAGTATATAGTGAATGTATATACAAAGAATGTATAGTGGATACATATAGTGGATTCTCACATAGCATCATCGTTATTATTTTCATCATCATTTTCTTCACAACATTAATAATTTTCTCACTCTGTGTGATATCTGAATTCATACACAAACACATCTCTCTCTCTTGTTTTTTTGAGTATAAAAAATCAAAATGATGATGATAAAAAACAAGAAAAGAAAGAGAGAAAATGAAGAGAAATGATGATGATGATTTGGTTAAGATAGCAAAAAATTTTGGCTTCGCTCCGCTCTGTGTTTTTGACAAACGTTCGAATCCTATATACACACACCAATCAACCTGCTACTAACCAACAACGATAACAATTTTCAATTTAAAAAAAATATATAACGTTATTATCATCAAACTTAACCACCACCACCACCACCACNGATGATGATAAAAAACAAGAAAAGAAAGAGAGAAAATGAAGAGAAATGATGATGATGATTTGGTTAAGATAGCAAAAAATTTTGGCTTCGCTCTGTGTTTTTGACAAACGTTCGAATCCTATATACACACCAATCAACCTGCTACTAACGATAACAACGATAACAATTTTCAATTTAAAAAAATATATAACGTTATTATCATCAAACTTAACCACCACCACCATCATCATCATTTACCGACCGACAACCACAATCATCAACGGATGATGATAATTTTGTTTTGAAAGAAACTTCTTTTTCGTTCGGAAAGAAGAAGAAGAACTCAACAACAATCGCAACCACTACATTCGTTTGAAAAAAAAACTTTTTTTTGGGTTATGTTTTTGTGTGTTGTTGATAGTTTTTCGATTTGTTTCTGTTTTTTTTTGTTTTGTTTTCTTTCTCGATAATATTCTCGTTTTGTTTTTGTTTTTGTTTTTTTGGTTTTCATTTTTTTTTTCACCAGGCAAAAAAAAAATTTCATTCAAACATTTTCAAAATATTCCAAATACTCTCTTTTTTAATTCTTGTGCGGTGTTTTTTTCCTCTTTTTCTACTTCATTCTGTTCTGCTCGATTTCTGGTACAGAATTTAGCAAATAAAATTCCATACTTTTTATTCCGGGTTCAAAAAAAAATTCAAATCAAAAATAATTATTTTTAAATTCATCAAACAACAACAACAAACCTTATCACAGCTGATTTACCAACTGAATCTTTCTCTTTCTTTTTTTACATTGACCGCACTGTCTTTCAATCTTTTTTTTTTAATTTCTGAATAAAATTTTTCAAATAATCAAAACAGCAACAAACAACAAAAAATATTTCTACAAAATAATTTTCATTGATAAACAACAACAACAACCTGCGCCTTGATGATTTTACAAAAAAAAAATAAATTTACAACAGGTGTATCGTGTGTCTGTCTGTGCACAAATTATATGATATTTTATAAATAATTATCATTGGCCATCATCATCATCTTGAGAAGAATTTCAACAACAGCCATCAAAAAAAGCATCATATTTTAACCAATTTTTTTCTATCTTAGCAAAAATCAATTATTCATATTTTTTTGTTTTGCCTTGACAAATTTTCGTGTGTCCAAAACATCATCATAGTTTATCAATTATCACATCTTTGTTTTTCCTTTGCACAAACAGCTAATCGATAAATTGAAAATTGATTATCTTCAAAATTCAAATGGTTTGATCGTTTTGTTGATGTGAGAAAACCTTCTTCAACATCATCAACTTAAGATATCATTGATGTCGTCTGAATGATAAATCGATGTGAAGTTAATTAACTTTCAACTAATTTCGTTTGAAAAGTTTTCTTGTTTCAAACGACACCACAAACGAAAAATTTCCAAAATTAAATCTTTCAATTTTCCTACCGCGGTTATCAAGTTATTTGGTTGTGACTATTTTTACCGTTATTTTTGTGTTTGTGTGTTTTTCCTTCTTCATTGATCATCAGATAATCTCCAAAAAAAAGTCTTAAATCTAAGAAGAAAAAAAAAATTTCAAACGTAAACAGCTAAAACAACAAAAATTCATAATGTCGCATCATAGCGACGAAGCAATACCATCGGCTACATCCGATAGTTTTTGGGAACCAGGAAATTATAAAAAAACAACAAAACGTACTGAAGATGGACATAAACTATGTAATGATCTGATGACATTAATAAAAGAACGTTCAGAAATTGAATATGGTTATGCAAAAAATCTTCGACAATGGGCAAAAAAATGGGAAGAAATGATTGTAAAAGGACCAGAATATGGTACAACTGAATCAGCATGGAAAGGTGTTCTTGGTGAAGCTGAAAAACGTTATGATTTACATATGAAAATAAAAAATGATTTAGAAAAAGATGTTATTAATAAAATACGTAATTGGCAAAAAGATAATTATCATAAAAATGTAATGCATTTGAAAGAGAAAAAAGAATTTGATGAGGCGTTTAAAAAAGTAAGTAGGCTTGTTGTTGTTGTTGTTGTTATGGTTATGGTTTTATTATCCGTTTAGATTGATTAATTAACTGATTGAATTTAATTTAATTTCATTTTTAGGCACAAAAACCATGGGCCAAATTATTAAGTAAAGTTAATAAATGTAAACAAGATTATTTTAATGCTTGTAAAAATGAACGTTCAGTTACTAATCAGGAAAGAAATGCATCCGGTGATACATCATTATCTCCTGATCAGGTGATTATTATTATTGTTTTATTTTAATTCTTTTTAAACTGATAATTTTTATTTACTGTAAAAAAATATACATAGGTAAAAAAATTACAAGATCGTGCACAAAAAGCAAAAGATGAAGTACAAAAAACCCGAGAAAAATATGATCAAGCATTAAAAGAAATTAGTATGGCTAATTCAAGATATATTGAAGATATGGAAACTGTATTTGAACGTTGTCAAGAATTTGAAGAAAAACGTTTAAAATTTTTTAAAGAAATTTTATTCACAATTCACAATTGCCTTAATCTAACAAATATGCCTGAATTAGTAACGATTTATGAAGAATTTAGGCATACAATACAGAATGCTGATGCATCAAAAGATTTAAAATATTGGTCAAATACATATGGTGTTGGTATGCCAATGAATTGGCCACAATTTGAGGTAAGAAAAACTATTGAATTGATTTTTCCCAATCAATAAACCAGCAAAACACCTTGATTGAACCTCGTTACCTGTATCGTTTTTTTTTTGCTAATAATGATTTGTTTTGTCATTTTTTTTCTCTCGTTTTTTGCATGTTTTTTATTTTTGATTATCCAAAAAAATGTTTTGAATGTTCGTTTTTGCTACCTTTTTTTTCAAAAAAAAAAATCATATTCCCTTGCTGATTATAATGATGATGATGATGTGGGTTTCGTTTTTTGTCAATTGCCATTTGTCGATGCAATCTACACCGAAAAAAAAAACAAAAAAAAACTACTATAACAACCAAAAAAAACGTTTTCATTGTTTGTTACTTCTTTTTTGTTTTGTTTAAATTAATAATTTGTTGTTATTGTGGAAACCAAAAAAATCATCATCATAGGAATATTGTGAAGAATTTCGTGAAATAATCAAAAAGAAAACAACAACAGCAACAACAATATCCGAAAATGGAATAACATTGGTTAATCAACAAAAATTAACTGAAGAATTACCTGTAATGTGACCAAAGTTTTTTTGTTTTGTTTTGTTTGTGTCTGTGTCTGTTCTGTTCTGTTCACTATTCATGTCTCAATCAGTTTTTTTCACCGGGGTCTGCATGCTTTTATTTCCGTTTGTTTTTTGGCTATTTTTCTATTTTGTTTTTTTCCATTTATTATTCTTTTTTTTTCATTAACACATCTCTCTCTCTCTCTTTCTCACCTTTCAAATTAATTATTTATTTAATTTTCTCAATCTAAACTTTTTTTTTTATTATTATTTTCTTCGGTGTTTCGGGGAATGATAATGAATTTTTCTCAATCAATCACTATTGATAATTTCCTTTTGTTTTTTGTTGTTTCCACTTCATTGATTGAATGTGTAAAGTTTAATTTTGTCATTTTGTTTCTTTTCTACCTACCTACCTTCTTTGATTTTTTTTTGTCTCCAATCCAGGAATACAATCATGAACTAGCTAGCATATCGAAAAAAGATAAAAAAAATATAAACAATGAATATAATAATGGCAATAGTGACAATAATAATGTTATCATATCTAATTATCAAAGTGATTATTATTCCAATACAAATACAAATGATGATAATAATAAAATCATTGACCAATCATGCAATAATGGAAATATAATAAGCAATAATAATAATAATAATAATAGTACTGCCAAAAGGATAAATACGTAAGTTTATTTGATTGATTGATTGATTTTTGATTGATTTTTTTTTGTTTTGTTTTCCAAAATTTAAAGAACAAATAGTAAATCTGGTAATATGGATCCAGAAAATCCATTCGAAGATGATCATGAAGATTGGGAAGATTATTCAAATGATGCATTAGTTGATAATGGTGAACCAGGTGTATTAGTTAAAGCACTTTATGATTATGTTGGTGCCGAAGCTGATGAATTATCGTTCAAACAAGGTACTATATAATTATTACCATCATCATATTTTGTTTTGTTTTTTTTAAATAACGAATTTCATTCAATTTCTCCATTACAGGTGATATATTCGAAAAATTGGAAGATGAAGATGACCAAGGATGGTGTAAAGGCCGTAAAGATGGCCGTGTTGGTCTTTATCCAGCCAATTATATCGAAATTCTTTCAACTGTTGCCTCGTAGCTCAAAATTTTAAAATCATAAAATTACACTTTCAAATACACACAACACATTCTTTCTCTTTTTTTTTGCCACCACATTTTTTTTCCTCTTCCTCATTACTACTAATGATCATTTTTTTTAAAATCATTATTAATTAATTGATTGATTAATTGATTATCATTCAAAATATCATCATCATCATCATCATCATCAACGTTCCATTAACAGATAAACACTGAAACAAAACATTGAAAAAAAACAATCGACTGACTGAAACACAAAACAAAGAAGGTTAAATCAATTTTTTCAATAGCACATCTATGTTCCTAATTATAAATTCATTGTTGTTTCGTTTCGTTTTTCGTTTTTGTTACCAGAACACATTTCATGAATATCTAATGAGATGAAAAAAATCCATTGTTTTTTTTGATTTGGAAAACAATTTTCAAAAAGAAATTTTCTCCAGATGTTCAGTCATTGATTTTAGTCCAAAAAAACAACAACATGAAAGTCTTTTTTCTAATTCGAATCATTTTAGATTTTTTGTTTTTCGCTCGCACACAATCGATTGATTTGATTTGATTCGATTCGAAATATTTGTAGCAAACAAATACAAAACAATTCTGTGCTTTATCATCCATCATCATCATCATCATCATCATATTTATTATTCCTCACTTTGTACACATGTTTGGTGAATGAATGAATGAAACAAACAAACAAACAAAAACAAAAATGTTTTTATTGGTCAAATATATATATAAATAAATGAATAATTAACTTTAAAAAAAAATTTGATTTGGCAGTTTATGTACAATGATGATGAATTATAAATTTGGTTCAAAACGAAAAAAATCAACTTCAATATCTTTTGATTGTTTTTGATGAAATCTATATGTACGTGGTAGATCATAACGTAATTTGGCTAAAACTTCACCATGAGCACCAAAATCTTTAGCTTTTCGCAGAACATGATCACGTGTTGATGTTTTATGTAAACTATATACCGATCCGGTGGATAATTCCAGTGCTCGACGTAAAAATATCATATCAATACCTTTGTTATTTTTTGTACCAAATGGTGGATTCATAACAACAACATCGAATAATTTTGTGTTCGAAAATTGTGACCATATTGAATTATCACAAATATCAGCACACAAAATATCGAAATTATTTAAAAAATTTGGCTCTTCATCTTCTTTCAAACAATGACGATTGGCGGAACATTTTTCTAGTGCATCTGGATCAATATCAACACCAAGGACAAATGCTGCATCAAGACAAGCACAAGATAATCCAAGACGACCACAACCAGTACCCAAATCCAGAATCATTTTATCTTCAATATCATCATATGAATTCATTGTGAATAACATACGTGCACCAATATGATGTCCAGTTTCATATTGTTCAAGCTGTATTTTTGGATTATCAAAACCATCAATTGATTCCAATAACATTTCCAAACGTACAAGTTTCATGATTTTACCGAAAAAAAGAAAAAATTCAAATTCAAAATCAGGCATTTAAATTCGAACCATGTTGAACATAAAATAAAACATCGAATCCAACTATCGATTGTATCGTTTGAATGAATGAAATAGCTCTTCTTTTAAATTATCATTTTTTTATTAAAATTTTTTGAAAAAATTCAATTTAAAAATGTATTATATGAAATATTACAAATGAATGAGAATTTATAAATAGCCAAAATATATAGTTAATAAATTATTTTTTTTCTAAGCACTCATAACAGGTCGATGAAGTTTAGCTTCTAATTCATTGGCACTTGCATAACCAGTACCACCACGTTGAAGTGGAATAATATCCGATTCTTTTAATGGTTTATCATTAATAGGATCAATCATATCTTTTTTGATTATTTTTTCCAAACATTCTTCAGTAATAACAGAACCACTGTTTGAAAAATGGAATACAAGATTAATGAATTTAATATTTACATCGAATAATAACTTACGATGTTTTTAATACGACACATCGTGATGAATTTGTTAAAATATCTCCAGAAACGGCACATTTATATGTTGCACGATATGGGTCTGTACATTTTGGATCGGTCAAAGTAAATTTTACATCAATCAAACGATTTGCTTTCAATGGTTTTCCACTAATTGGACATCGAACAATTGTATCAGGTTTTTTTGTTCGATCTTCAGTTGATGGTGTTAGATTTGGTATCCAAAAACTGGGCAATTGTTTATCATTTCCATTATTCATGTTAGACACTGATGATGATTGGGACGAGCTACATGGTTGTTGTTGTTCAACATTATCGGTTCCCAATATTTTCATTGTTTCTTGATTGGAAAATTTTTCCGCTTTTCGTACATTATCTTCTTCCATTGATTCTTTTATTCGTTGTTCATCTTTTTGTTTTTCTTTTTCATATCGTTTTATATCACGTAAAATTTTTGCCTTTTGTCGAATAATATATTCCAAAATGGCTTCTTTATCATACAGATAACCATCGGGACTGATTTAAAAAAGAATGAAAAGTCAATGAATTTATTTGAAACATTATTATTATTATTGTTTACGTTATAACCGGATTACGGCATGGTTGTAAACTAAGATTACAGGCATTAAAATCTTTAACCGAATCTTTATTCAAACGTTTATGTTTTGTACCATAACCACTTGATTGATTATCACGTTGTCGTTCATGATATGAATAAACCGATGATGCTGTATTATTTTTTGCATGGCGGGTCATTTTTTTTTTTACTTTCCAAAAACCAACAAAAATCAAATTTTAAAACTCAAAAACAAAAAGAAAAAAATATCCCATCCTATCTTCTATGGATGAAACTGGGAAAAAAAATCCAGAGTAACAAAAACCGAGCCTGCGTTTGAAATGTCTATATAGGCGTGTGTGTGTGGGTTTCGACCTATCAACGTCGATGTAGTCGTCATCATTATTATCATCATCAACAACAATATTATCATCGTCGGCGGATTGAAACGCCACCACTCTTTTATTGTCAAATGGCTGTATAGTTTTGGTTGGTTGTTTTTGAACCCAAAGTGAAATTACATCTCTCTCACTCGCTCCCTCTGATAAACTCAACTTATCCATTTTATTTTTTTGCTTTCCATCGCCTGGTTTCAATTTGGTTTTTTTCATTTTTGCATTTGGTATTGACTATATATCACATACACACACTATATACTACGTATTTCTGGTTGTGTTTGGTCTTATCTTGAGTTTTTTTTGTTGGTTGGGCTCCTCTCAAAAACGAAAAAAAAAATCATCAGTAAATTTTTGTTTTAATAGTCATATTATTATTAATCGAAAGATTCATCATTGCTACGACCGCTATCGGCTTTAAGGTAAGGATGATTTGTTGATGGCCATTGATGTGTTTACGCCTCTCTCACATTTCCATTTCCATTTTTATTCATCATTTTAATTTCGATTTTGCTTTTCTTTTCTGCGTTCACCAATCTAGAAATTTTTTTTACCATCAAAAAAATCCAATTTGATTGACGACACTATTCAATTCGAAATTCGACTGTGTTTCAATTCGATTCTATTTATCATCAATTCTTCATAATAAACAAACAAATAATACATTCATAATGTCTAATGAAGCTGAATTATCACCCGTTTATGCACCATTTTTCGGTGTACTTGGTGCCGCATCAGCCATTGTATTTAGTTCATTTGGTGCAGCATATGGTACGGCAAAATCTGGTACCGGTATTGCTGCTATGGCCGTTATGAGACCTGAATTAATTATAAAATCAATTATTCCTGTTGTTATGGCTGGTATTATTGCTATTTATGGTTTGGTTGTTGCAGCTATTATAGCTAATAGTATTGGTGAAGGTGGTCTTGAAACGGGTGGTTATCATTTATTTAAAGGATTTTTACATCTTGGTGCTGGTCTTTCCGTTGGTCTATCCGGTTTAGCAGCCGGTTTTGCAATTGGTATTGTTGGTGATGCTGGTGTTCGTGGTATAGCACAACAACCACGTCTTTTTGTCGGTATGATTCTTATTCTTATTTTTGCCGAAGTATTGGGTCTTTATGGTTTGATTGTTGCATTGGTTTTGGCAACCAAAAACTGAAAACAAAAAAATTCAAAAATTCAATTAATATTTTTCATTCAAAAAAATCCAATCATCCACAATTTTAATTTTCATCGATCATTGTCATCATTATCAAAATGTTTATCAAGAAATCTTTTTCTCTCACTCTCTCTACCGGAAAATCATAATCAAATTTTCATTATACCGCTGCTTCAAATTCTACAGTCATTATCGTTTTTCTCTCTTTTCCTTTTCTTTAATCTTATTTAATTCGAATGACCAATGAAGATGAAAGAAAAAAACAATGTTTTGCTTTAGTTTGTTTTAAATCAAATCAAATCAACAGAAATACACCTTTTTCTCACAGCAAAAAAAACGCCCACTCGCCAAACCCATTTAAAATGTTTTCAAATGTTTTGGATTGTAAAAAAACAACGGAGAACAAAGTTCAATTTATCATCACCATTTATTAGCCACAATTGAAAAAAATCTACAATAGTCATTCTTGTTTGAAGAATTTATATTCGTGAACAACCGAATTTCATTCCAAAGAAAAAAAATATCCGATTTTTGTTTTTCACAATTTAATTTATCCAAAACACCATACACACAACGCAGGTTTTCTTTATTTTACTGATAATTTTCATTTGTTTTTTGTACAAAAAAAGAAAGAAAGAAATTTTTGTTGTTAATATTTACACACACACACACACATAGCAGCGATGTTGTGGTAAACGAAAACACAAAACAATTATCATAGGTATCATTTTCTTAATTTCCTTTCACTTTTTTCTCCCCCAACAAAAAAAAATTTCATTGATTTGATGTTATTATGCTAATTTTCATTTGTTTTTTTTAAATATTAATCAAGAAAATGTGTTATTGTATCATATAAAAAAATAAACATTTTATTCCAGATTCTCATTTTGAATTTATCCCCAAAATATTAATGATTAATTAATTAATTATGAATTGGTGAATTTTTTTTCGAATAAAAATTATTGGTGTGCATGATTTGTTCATTGTTTTTGATTAATTTGATTTGGTCAAATATCAAATAATCATGTTATATTGCTATAATCCTCGGGAAAGCCCATTTTAATTGCTTCTTCATATGTTTCATAATGTGATAAAAACATTGTATGACAACAATAACGTTTTAAACCCATTCGTTGAAATAATTGTCTGAATGGAATGGAACGATAAAACAAAACAATATTTAATGAATTTGTTTAGTTGAAATAAACAAATAACTTACTCTAATCCATTTTCCAAATTATCATTGGAAACTTTGGCTATACGAAGTTGTTCACTGAATTCTTCCCAAAGATGTCCAATTATTTTACCACATGTCCAACATCGAACCGGAAAAAGCATTTCTTAATTTGGATCTTGATTTACTTTTCGAAATTGACAAAAAAAAAATGCAGATCAGGCATTCGAACACAAAAAAAAAATCACAGATGAAAAGAACATCGTAAAACGACGTGCCATCATAAACAAAAATCGTTCGATTCAAGTAATAATTCGAATTACTAAAAATAGATGGCGATAAAACCGCCTTTAAAAAAATGATTCGAACATTCAGTAAAAAAAAGTTTGTTTTTTATTTACAAAATATTTTTTGATTTTCTTTTTTAAATAAAATAAAATTTGAATCCAATAATATAATGAAATGATAATGATGATGAATAATAATAATTTGATAAAGTGATGAATAATATTAATGTGATGATCATCATATTCAACAGCAGAGAGAGAGAAAAAAAAAAATCATGTGTGATATTTTGAAGAAAAAAAAAGTTTGATAATGAAAAGAATGATGAATTGAATTGATGAAAAAAATGAGAGAATCTTATGAAGAACAACACTAAATCTATGTATGTATGTTATGGTATGTATTTGATATAATTTAAATGATTTTTTTGTGGGGAAAAAAAATAAGCAATGAAACAAAAGAAGAAGTAAGCAAAGACAAGAAAATGAAATGAAAATGAAGAAAATTGTCAGATTTTGATTTTTCCGGTAAGTAGTGTGTGTGGGTGTTGGTGTGTGTTTCATTGTTTGTTTTTGTTTCATTTTGTTTTAAAGGGAACAAGAAAAAACGAAAATTTGTTTGAAAATAAAACTTGGCTTGGCACGAAAAAAAAAATTGGATCTTTTCATTTTACCTAGACAGACGACTTAGAAAAGAAAATATTTGATGGTAACGATGATGAAAGTGCAGAAGAAATATCACTGACAGATGATGATGATGATGGTATTGGTGATGGTGATGTTGTTATTATTGTTGTATCCGGAACAGCCATTGTTGATGATGATGATAATAATGTTGTTTGTTGTTGTTGTTGATCAACTGAAGAAGAATTTGGATCATCATCACATTTTTCCAATAAATCATGTAATTTTTGTTCATCACCAACAACATTATCGTTTGGTTTGAAAAAATGTACAATTTGTCTTGATTCATCAGCATGATCGGATGAATATGATGAACCACCATCATCATCATCATCATCGCCATCAGTTTGATCATTTCGTAAAATTTCATCAACTTTTTTCCTATAAACACCCGATAGTACATAGGTTTTTACCTTACGACCATCATGACCAATTTGTTCGGTTATTGCTGCTGTTGGTTGTTCCATATCATTTAAATCTAAAAGATGATGATGCGGTTGATGATGATGATGATTAATTTGTTCTGATTCAGCTGAATTTGGTTCAGGACCAATATATTCATAATTTGGATCATAACCTTTTACACGATATCGACGTATCATCGATGATCGAATCGATGATTGCGATTGTGGTGTTGGCAATGGTGATGATGGACGTATCGATTCATAATGTTCATCTGAACTATCTGAAGTATCATCATTTAGATCATCACCCATATCTTCATATGATGGTTCATTTGATAATTTACCATTATTTCTTGTATCATAATCCTGATATGTTGATCCTAAACTTTGATTATCATCTAAATCCGAATTATCATTATTATTATTATTATTTAGATCCGGATCTTGATCAGAATTTGATGAATGTGAATGTTGTTGATGATATCTACTATCTTCACTTGGAAATTGTTTTAAATATTTTTCAGGTATTTTACCTTTTGATTGTATACGATGAATTTCACCTTCTTCTTTATCTTCAAAATCTAATTTATGTCGTTTACCACCGGTAACCATTAAATTTTTTAATGTTTTTAATAATTGTTTATCATAATTATTTTTTTCTAATTGTTCAAGACCTTCCGATGTACGTATGGTCATTGGTCGATGTCCAGCAGCAGATTTTGATCCAGATGATTCTTCACCCGATGAATCACTATCACTGTACGATGACGATGGTTTCGAAGACGAAGACGATGATGGACGATAAATTGGTTCAAATTTACCATTATTATCATTATCATCATTTAATTTTGAACGAATATTATGTTGATGGTGTTGGTGTTGATGATGACCTGATGATGGCGATGATAATTTCAATGTTTTCATTGTTGTTGTTGTTGGTTTATTTTTATAATTATTATAACGTGTTATCTGTTGTTGATCATAATTCATTGTTGATGGTGTATATTTTTTACCACCATTACCACCACCACCATATGATGATGATGATGATGTAGTTCGTTGTGGTGGTGATGATTGTGTATTTATATTATCATCTAAATTTCTTAATGGTGGCATATTTTGTAAATATTTTTCCGGTATTATTTTCGAACGTGTTGGACCGGGTGAATGTGCTGTCATTATTTTTTTATGTTGTCCACGTTGTTGGTGATGATGATGAACACGTGGATTTATTGAACTAGGTTCCGGTTGTTTTTCATAACTTTCACCATTATCATCATCATCAGTATTGTCATCAGAAGCATTATTTTTATCACCATCACCATCATTATTATCGTTGTCGATTGGAATTTCTTTATTTTTATCCAGATAACGTATTTTAGGTTTTAAACGCATTTGTCTTTCGGCTTTCAGTTTAATTTGACCAACTGAATTAATACGTATTGGTGGACGTTCGGCTTTTATCCGTATTACAGGACGAGTTCGTTTTTTAGGTGTGCCTTGTTGTTGTTGTTGTTGCATATTATTACTATTTGGATCGTTTGGTGATGTTTCACCATTATTGTAGCTACCGTGTTGTTGTTGTTGTTGTTGTTGTTGTTGTCGTTGATCATTATTATTATCATCAACAACATTAGAATGATGATGATGATGATGTTCTGAATATGGTGGTGAACGTTGTTGTTGTTGTCTTGGTTGTTGTTGTTGTTGTTTTTGTTGATTATTATTAAAATCATTTTCCAATAATAAATTATTATCTGGCCATCTTTCTTCACCCGGTTTATCCAATTTAGGTGCAGGTATAATTTTCATTGCATCAGGTTTTTGTAATGGAATCTACAAGAACGAAAAAAATACAAAAATACAAAAAGATTAATCAACACCATTATCAACAGAGGAAAAAATATGCAAATTAATAAACAAACGACCATTATTATTATCAAATGATTAATCATTCGATCGATCAGATTGATCAAATCGATTTTTTTTTGTTGGGATCGATAAAAATGAAAAAAAATCTTAAACAAAAAACAACAACAAAGATCACAAAAATCAACAGTGCAAAGATCAACAAAACAGCAGAGAATTGAATATCGATCAAACCTTTCCTTAAAATCTAAAGCAGCCAAAATATTCATCAAATTTGAATAAAAATTTCATTTTTTTTTTGTTGCGAATAATCGTTCATCATCATCGATGATGGTCAGTGCATCAGTGCAAAAAAAAATAAGAAATATTGCCATAAATGATTTAAAGGCTAATTTTTGTTGCCTCTGCTCTGACCAATTTGATTGATGGATTCGATTCGATTGATTGAAAGCAAAAAAGAAAAAACGAAGAAAACGTTTGGCTTGATCAATCATGCATCCGGATAATGAACTAATTTTTTTTCGTTGTTTAAAAACCGAGAAAAATTTTTAAAATTTTCAGGGTTTTTTTTCAATTTGAATCTTTTTTTACCTGAAATTTTTCAACAACAAACGTATAGTGAGAATGAGAATAGAATTTTATTTGTGTAAGTGTGTGTTTTCTCCAAAACATTATCATCATCATTATCAAATTGGTAGCCACCAAGCAACCAAACAACATAATTTATGATAAATGATGATTATTGATGGAAATTCGTAAATTATCCCAGAAAAAAAGGGTTTAACTCTTCTACCTGTCCTGTCTGTCGATAAACGAGAAAAAAAAACCTGAAATAATTCAATAAAAAATCCTTACCAAAATAGAAAGCGAAAGCTAATGATAAGCTACCTGGCAAAGTTTTGCTTATGTTGTGTTGTTGTGTTGTTCATCATTCATTCACCATTCATTTCATTTCATAATCATAAGATTTTCTTCTGGTCAGTTCAAAGAATCCAATGAGGATCTCTGTTTTTGTTTGTTTGGAACTTTATGAACAACAACAACAACAGACTAGACGAAAATATCCCAAACAACAACAACAACAACAACGATGATGATGATGACCATATATCCTGATCTATTGTCATATTTATTTATTACTACTGTGTTTGTTTGTGTGTGTATTATTATCATCATTTTTTTGATGGCTATTTTAGTAAATTTTTTTACAATTCAATTGGTATCCTATGCAATCAAATAAAAAGAGACAGAAGAAATTATTGTACAATTTTTGATTCGATTTACAAGTGAAACGAAGAAACGAACCTGAATGGCCGGCAAATGGAAAGAAATTAAAGAAAAAAAATTTTTTTTTTAAATAAGTGAATTGAATTGAATGGGATAATCTTCTTCTTCTTCTTCTTCGCTAGCCAGCTATTGACCATTATACAACGACAATCATCATCATCATATAATCATCATGATGATGATCGTTATTTGATTTTATGTTTACCTGCTTGTTTGATACAGTAAAAAAACATTGGATTGTTTTTTGTTTTTTTGAATTGAATTGGATGTTGTTTGTTTGTTGTTTGTTGTCTACTATATATTGGGTATATATCCTGTTCCTGGTTTGACCAGTTGATCATCATCATCATCATCAATTTAAGGCTAAAAATGGATATATTACGTGCCAAGAAACGACAACAAAATGAAAAAAAAAAACATTGAATTTTGCTCTGGACAAAATCAATAATTCAGCGTTGTTGTTGTTTCCCTTGATATACTTTTTGTTTTTCAATTTTTTCTATTGAATTTTACAAAAATAGAATGTGAAATGCAAAAAAAAAACACATTTGCATAATTGAATAATTATGATGATGATGATGATTATGAAAAATCTAATCACATATGATTATAATGAATAAATCAAGAGATTTTTGAAAAATTAAATTATTCATCATCTTGATGATGTCATTTGAATTTTTTTTTTCTTTTGAAACAAAAAGAAAGACATCATGTCATTTGCATCATTGTTTTTTTGTTTTTCAAGTTTTCATATTTAGAGTTATTAAGGTCATCAATTATCATCATCAGAATCAGATTTAGATGAAATTTTTGTGTTTTTTTTGTCTTTTCGCGGTTATCCAATTAAGAGATAGAATTGATAACATCATCATTATTCTTTTTCGTGATTGTAACTGAGAATCAAAAATCAAAAACCAAATCTAATTCCCCTTTCTCTCTGTATATTTACAGAAACACGGTTATCTTCAGCTGAAAAAACGAAGAAAAATTCATCTCCATTCTCTTAAATAATAATAATCATTTTTTAGCATCCACACCACATCACACCACAAAATGATGAATTAATTGAGTTAAATTAAATTAATAATGCAAAAATCAATTGATTGATTGATTATTTGATTAATCATGATTAGTAAATACTTCAGGATGCAATGTGAGAGTGATATAATAATTAAAAAAAAAAAAAAAAATAGCGGTGATTTGGTGGTGGTGATGGCGGTGTGAACAAGATTATTATTATTGATTAGATGAAGAAAATGTAAAGATGGAGATGTTATAGAGAGAGAGAGAACCGTGTTAGCGAGAAGAACAATAAAGGGGAAATTTAAAACAAAACAAAACAAAAAAAAACAAACATCATACCTACTTATGAATCAAAAAAAAATTTCTAATCGATCTATAAAAAAAAACAAATGAAAAAAAGAATTGTGTGTATGTTCTGTGTATGTGGTTGTCTAATTAACTAATTAACTAATTGAATCGATTTAATTTAATTACGAAATCGATTATATTGATTTCTACGATGATTATTTATTTTCATCATCATCATATTGTTCATATTCATATTCATATTGTTATTTCTCATATTCACTATACGTTTTGTATTAGAATTTGAATTATTATTATCATTTGTAGATTTTATAATTTTAGATTTTTTATCATTATTATCATCATTATTATTATTTAAATTATTATTATTATTATTATTCATCATTATTAATCGGCCAGGTAATTCTCTGGTTGTCGTGATTACCTGATTAATATTTATATTTTGATTATGATAATCGTTGTTATTATTATTATTATTATTATCTTGATGATTTTTATTATGATTTATATTACTATTATTATTATTATTATTAAAATTATCTTTTATATGATTATTTTGATTATTATAGTTGATATCGATATTATTAAAATGTTTAATTGATTGTTGTGATGATGGTGGACGATTTGGTCCTTGATAATGCTGTGGCGGTGGTGCTACCGATGATGGATTTGGTTGTGGATTATTGATCATTGGTGGTGGTGGTGGTGGTGGATTACGAAAATCTAATTTTGGATGTTTTTGACCACCATTTCCATTACCACTATTGAACAATACATATGGATCATTCATTTTCATTTCATTCATATTGTTGTTGTTGAAATTGTTGTTACCAAAATTATTAAAATTATTATTACCACCATTATTATTATTATCATTTGGACGATAATAATTTGGATCAAAATTTGGTTGTGATTGTTGTTGTGGTGGTGGTGGTGGACCACCATTATTATTATTATTAGGTCTAAATGGTTGCTGCGGTGGTGGTGGGGGTGGTGGTGAAACTTGTTGCATGTTTGGATAATTATTAGCCATATAATTTGATTGTGGCATAAATTGTTGTTGCTGCGGTTGTTGTTGTTGTTGTTGTGGACGATTATTATTATTAAAATTCATCATTTGCCGACCAACATTGGTCATCATTTGATGACGATGATATTGATTAAATTGATTATAATCACGTTGTCGTTGACGATTATGTATACTTGGTCTTCGTTGTTGTTGATTCTGATTATTCTGATGATAACGATTTTGATTCTGATTTTGATTATTGATTGGTTCGTCTATTTAGGGAAGGGGGAAAAATTGAATCAGAAAATCAAAAATCAAACGAAAATTTCAAATTTTAAAAGTTTTTAAAAAACGGGAAAACCAGCGGGAAAAATCAAAACTTACCATAAATCGGTATCCGAATCGGTTGAGCAGTTATCAATTTAAAATTAATATTATTACTACCAGATGCTTTATAAATATCTTCCGGGCGTAATAATAATATTGGTATTTGTAATTGTTGCATTTTAAATGGTTTATTTAGATCAACTTTATTGAATGGTATATCACCATTGATTGCTGCTTGTGCAATTACATTGACCAATTCATTTAATGGAAAACGATTCTATTTTTTGAAAGAAAAAAAGAAGAAAATGGAAAAATCATTATCATTTTTTTGTAATGGAAAATCTTTACGGAAAAAAAATTTATGGAAATTATCAAATCTGGATAGGATCACAAAAAAAAAATTCTATTGTTTTTCTTGCCAGATTTGATGATGGAAAACAAACAAACAAACAAACAATGAAAATTTTGTTTTGCCTATGTTTGATCAGTTCAAATCAATCAAATGAAATTTTCCCTTGTTTTTTGATCGATAATGATGATCGAACAGATCTTTTCGAAAACAGAAGTGATCAGCAAAACCTGATGATGATGATGATGATGATCAACTGGGAACTGAACTGGTCATTTTTTTTGGTGACAATCATCGAATGCGGAACTTCTTGGACAACAACAACAAATTGTTGTTGTTGTTACTTTTGTGATTGATTAGAATTATGGTGACAGAAGAAATATGAAAAATTTCAAAAATTTCAAAAAAAAAAACAAAATTTCCATTTCCCATATCCAATTGATTGTTTCAATGTGTTGTGTGTGTCGATTGGTCAGTTGTCTGATGTTGATTGGCCAGTCAGTCAAGTTGTTTGTGTGAACATTCAATGATTGATTCGATTCAAAAGGGAATCGAATCAATCAATCGTTGTTTTTTGAAAATTAAAAAACAAAATCCAAAATGACATTTCAATCAAATGAAAAAAAATCGACATAGAATCACGAGATCATCATCATAGGTCACCAACACCGTTACACAAAAAAGAGTTTCTTTTTAAATTAATAAACAAGATTAGAAACAAAACAGTAAACATCAGAAAACAGAGAAGAAACAAAGCCGGAACATTACAATCAAAGAACAAAAAAAAAATTCAATGAAATCATCAAACAAACAAACAGACAAAAGAGAAAACATCATTTTTTCCTTTCTTTCTGGAAATCATCCTACTTTTTTCACTTTTTGTTGTTGCTGATCTGTTTCTTGATGCTGCTGCTGCTGTCAATTATGAAAATGATTTATTCAAGAAAAGAAGAAGAAAAGAAAAATATTCATCACACATTATCGATTAAAGCGATGATGATGATGATGGTAATAAATTCAGATTTGTTGAAAATTGAAAAACGAAAACAAGGAAATACCATTCATTGATACCATTTTGCCATGATGATGATGATGATGATAATAGCCATCATCATCATCATCATCAACAACATCAAACAAAATATGATTGAAAAAAACAAAAGATCATTAAACATTTGAGAGCGAAAATATGGGAAAAAAACCTTTGAATGAAAGATTTAAAAATCATTCAATTCGCAAATCATCGCCATTTCAAACAAAAGCAAATATGGCTGGCTGAATAATTTCATTTTCAATTTTGCCAAAAATTCATCAAATGTTTTTTTGTTTGTGCGAAAAAACATTTAGCTGTTTTTTCACATCAAATAATGATGATGATTGAATCAAAATATTTATGAATGAATGAAAATTCAATTGAATTTAAGCGAAAACATTTGAAATCCTTTTCTGTTTTTCGGTGTGAAACAAAAATCTGGAAAAATGAAATGTTTCCGAAGCGAATCCAATGGAAAATGTCAAAAATTGATTTTTGATTTTGTGATTGCCCTCGTGATCAGCCAGATTCACTTGTTGCTGATCAGATCATCAATGAAATTTTTGGGTCAAAATTGTAGGGAAATAATTATGCAAATTGATTTTGGCTCGAAAAATTAATTCATCATTTTGAAATGATAATTTTGAATTAATCAATTGATTTAGCAAACAAACAAACAAAACAGAGAAAAAACAATAAAACAAAACAAATAAAAAACCTGTGAAAAGATGTAAATTGATTTTTCTTTTTGGCTAATTCCAAAAAAAATCCTCAATCTTTTTGTATTTTGCTTGCTTGTTTTGCACATCCAAGAAAAACAAAACAAACAAACATAAAATGATGATTGTGGATAACATCAATTTGTCTGTTTTGTGTTTTACTATTACACAAACACACAAACACACAAAGGCCAACTGTGGTTAGATTTATTACCGAATCTCTTATAACCATCTGACAATGAAGAAGACCACGATGATGATGATGATAATCTTATCGGATGTAGAAAAAAAACTATGCCATTTTCATTAATGAATGGATGAACAAACAAACAAACAAGCAACGAAAATTTTCATTATCTGTGTATGTTTGTCGGTGATAAACTTTGCCACATTTCATCATCATCATGGTCGGTCAATACAAATTTTTCATTACAAAGTAGAATCCGTTGTTTTTTTCACACAGACTTGAAAAGCATCCATCAAAACAAAGAAAAAGATGAACAGAAAAAAAAACGGAAATAAAAACTTTGGAAGAAAATTAATCTTGAATTTCATAGCAAAAACAAACGGTAAAACATTTTCATAACCTCCAAAAACAGACAACACAAAAATCAATCAATCGATCGATCGATTTGTTTTAATATTCTGTTGGTGGCGAAAATGACTATTTTAACAAAACAATTGTTCTGGCTATTTTCACCAATCACCACCTTTTTTTGATTGAAAAAAAGATTTTTTCATTGAAAAATCATGATGAACAAACACACCGGTTTTACCAAAAGTTATTTTTATTCATTTTTTTTTTGTTTTCAAAAAATGAAAAATTTCGAAGCAAAAATGGACACACTAAGGTGCGACACTTAGATACATTGTTATCATCATCATCATCAAAATGATGATTTGATGATGATGGAGACAATCAAATAATGATAATGTTGATGATGCGTGTGTGTGGTGATGATGGTGGCTAAAATTAGAGACAATCAAAAAGATGATGATGATGATAATAGCTCGAATGAAAAAGATAAATAAGATTTTTTCTGGTCAGAAAAAAAAGTTTCAAGAATCTTCATCACTTTCATCATTTGCTTTTGCTTTTCATTTCGTTTCTTTTCATTGATTGTATGCCTAAGCATCGGGAATGCATCATTTTTTTGTTGGTTGTTTTGTTTTCATCATCATCATCATCATTGTGAATTGAACTTTTTCCCTTCGAAATAGCAAAGTGTTGAATGAATGAAAATGAAATGAAATGATCAATCACCAAACAACCAAGAGACAGACCGACAGGGAAAAACTGGATTTTTTGAAAAAAAATTTTAATTTTGAAAATTTTTAAAAAATCAAAAATCAACAAATTCTGTTTCTGAATCAGGAAACATCAGCGACAGAAACAACACACAGGAACAAAAAAAAACATTAATTAGTTTTTCGTTTCTGACATTTTTTCAGTGAAAAAAAAATTATTGATAACAAAAAAAATTCAATTGATTGATTGATTTGATTGGGGAAAACAAAAAAAATCTCAGTAGCCACCACACAGCAGTCACCATAGTCATCAAGATGTCAAAATAATGAAACGAATGAAAAAAAAAGGTAGCAACAAATTGATTAGCTTTTTTTTGCTGTTTTGGTTCGAACTGATTGGTTGGAAAAAACAACAATCAAATGGTAAATCTCCAAATGATGAAAATGACCGAAACAAAATAGATTGCGTGTGTCGGTGTTCTCTCGGTATGTGTTGTTATCATATATGCTATATGTAATCAAATGAATTGAATTGACATCATCATTCAGTCATTCATTCAGTAAGTCATTCAGTTAGTCAATCATAAAATGATTTTAATGATGATGATGATGATGATTGTTATCTTTATTTTTATTTTGAAAAAAAAATTCAAAAACAAGTTTGCTATAGTGAAATGGAAATATTGTTTTTTTTTCTCGCCAACTATTTTTGCACGTCATTTGTGAAACAAAAAGATGTGCTACAAGGATACAGAGATTCCATGAATTTAATCTTGAAAATCTTCAAGATTCAGCCTCAAAAATCTTCCAAAAAACAAACATTTTTGTGATCCATGCACGAGAAATGGATTATATTCAAAACAAAAAATCCAACAATGTGTGTGGTGGTGGTGGTGGTGATATGGTACTATTTTAGCCATCCAATAATCATCATAATCATCGATCGATCGAATGAAAATCCTGGCCCAAAACAAAGATTTTGTTTCTTCAAGATGTGCAAAAACAGAAAATAATGATAGATCGGATCAGATCGGACATTCCCGACGAAAAAAACGAAATTTCATTTTCTCGGTGTGTGTGTTTGTGTTATCATTATCGGACACAGCAGCAGGTAAACAAAACAAAACAAACATTCGTTGTTGTTGTTGTTGTTGTTGATCACATCAGGTGATGAAGAAAAACAAAACTAAATCAGAAAAACAACAACGAAGCTAGATGATCAAACACAAAAAAACACCTACGATGATTTTTTTTTACCATATCAGCCGCCCGAATCAATCGGGTAGGATCGATGTCTTCCTCGATCTGTTTTGTTTTGTTTGTTCTGCTTGTGTGTGTGTGTGTGGTGAGCATCAGCAAATTCATTTCAATTTTTTTTTTTTTTTTGAAAGGATCGAAGATGCAGCAGGTAAGCAAGCAAGGGAGATAGGGGGATTGGATTTTTTTCTACCTTTTCCATCC